ATTAATGCCAGTAATAAAAATACCGGTTTATGCGCATCCCTTAACACTTATCTCCAGTTTTATTATTGTGATGCCATCCCTTTAAGTGATGTTAAGATTGTGATGTTATCCCTTTAAGAAGCAACTTTAATAGAATATGTTGGTTAATTGATCTTCCTTACAACGCGTTTGTTTGTATTATTTTCATGTATAAATACAACACATTTGAGCAGCTGCTTACCATTCTCGTCAGTGGAGTCGATCAGCTCCTGTGTTTCATCTAAGACGCCGTTCTTGTCTACGTCATAATCCATGCATAACCACTTTCCAATTGCCATAGCTGCCAGTTGAATGTCTCGATCCGGGAACTGTTTGGTATTGCTATAATAGTATAATGAAAAAATTGTTTTAATCTAGAATCTAAATCATTCTTTATAATTTTCGGTTTCTGTACAGTACATTTGTAATTCAGTCTATTGAACATTTTAAATTGATTTTAGACTTAAATAAATATTTTTTCCCAAATTTTCAAAAACAATCCAAGCATTTTCTGTAATTGTAATTTTAAGTTATTCATTATTTTTTGCCTTATGTTTTGCTGGCTAAACACTGTGAAAGGCACTTTAAGGCGGGAAACATTTGTTCCTTCTTCTGTATTACAAATCATGTGCATATTGTATATCAAATCTACGAAACTTGTAATAACAATACAATAATAAGGGCTCATTATGCATTCACTATATATATATATATATATATATATATATATATATATATATATATATATATAAGTAATTGACAATGCAAAATTAACGAAATGAATTAAATTTTCAGGTGCCACCGATGCGGTGTTTGACCAACGTTGATTATTATTATTATTATTTGATTTATTTATTTTTATTTATTTATTTTTTTTTTTTGTTGTTGTTGCTGTTGACCAAAGCTGCCTTTTTCGGAATTCAAAAACTGTCAAGAAAGGTCTTTCGTTGTTTGCCTCGGCCACTTATGCCAGGTAATCCACCACTAAGGCTAAGATTCTCGTATCCCTCTTTTCTGATTGAATGGCTCAAGAACTCCAGTTGTCGGTCTCTGAAGGTATTGAGGAGCTGTCTTTTTTTGTCTACCCGTTGGAGGAACTCTTCATTGTCAACACGATCAGTGTAGTAGACGCGTTGCATGCACCGGTAGAACTGAATTTCGGTTGCTTAGATGTTGCATCGAGTTTTGGCTGTCATAGTCTAAGACCCGCGAGAAGGCGGATATACAGAACTTTTTATGTGCGTTGCATTGATACTTGCATCTAAAGACTTACATTTTAAATCTGTCTATTAATTGCTATTAGATTTTTTATATATTTTAAAAAAGATTGATTTTATAGGTTAATTTTAAATGGTTTTCAATGATTGTTTTAGATTTAAATATTGTAGTCATTTTAATTATTTTAGTTATATTTTCCATTATTGTAAGGCGCTTGAGGTAGCATGTAAGGTGCCATATAATAAGCTTATTATAATATTATTATTCCGTCATTCTTTGCTAGTGGTTACAAAATGTTGAATTTGACCAAAAATTTTAAATGTTCTCTGGGAAGCTGTAATTTTGCGATGTGATAGCTACACCATCACAGTTTATCATTTCATAAAAAGGGAAAAAGCAGATGCAATTGCTAAGTCACACAAGGGACTTGAACAGCTATTCCCACCAAATGCAAGACGCGTACACTGGGAGATATATTTGGCACACACTATTGAGAGTCTAATGGAATGTTTTCAGTTTAAATCATAAGGGGGTGTTGTCTCAGTGCTTAAAAACTAGTTTTGAAGAATTCAATCCACATTTCATAATTAATAAAAATGGTGAATATGTGGGACACGGTAACGTTAGTGACACATGAACAAAATCTTTTCATAATAATGTAAAACGTAAAAATATTTTTGCTATTATCCAGACACACGTCAATCATGAGGGGAGTATTGCTCTCACATGCTTTTAAATTGGAATTGGCAAACACAGAAGAATAATGCACATATCTTGTTTACTGTAACTCTGTTACATGGGACACAAACTGAACAAAGTTGATCTAAAGAATGTTCCAGAGTGTATTTTTTTCTGAATTATTATTATTTTTTATTTGTTTAACACAATTAAGTTCAGTTAAATACAAAGTTTAACAAAATGAAGTTCAGTGTAACACAAAGTTCAGTATTATAACATTCTTTCTGACAACTGTGATGATATCTGCTCTGTGCTCTATCAAGGCATCCATCCTTGGGATTCTGAAAAAAAATCATACAAGGAAACTGTTTACTCTGATAACGAACAATGGGTAACTTAAGATTACAAATAGTTTATTGCTTATTCAAGCAAAGTGCCGTGCATTATGAGTGGCATACACCCATTATTGGGACACATTTTCTTCACCCATTTTCGGTGCTTCATTGTGTCTCCGTAACGTTAGTGTTGCGAGCAACCCATTATTGCTGTTTTTTGCAGACGGTTAAATTTTAAATGCACTGAATACAGTGTAGCATTTCAATTTAAGACAAAACTAAAAAATGTCATTCAATATCGATGATTGAGTATTCGAGTACAAGAGAACATGAATAAGGTGTCACCGCGTTACCATGTGACACAGACGAAAACGAAAGTTAAGTCACCCTGCTAATCGAATGGTAATAATCAATCAGTACACATATATTAAAACAATTGAAGAAAAACAAAACGAAACTCAATATCTCTCACCTTCATACAGAGAAGCTAAACAGTCCCGTTGCTGTTTAATCGAGGAAATGACACCTGTACCCTGCAACCGACCTCGACAGCGTCGCTGCGATACTTGCTATTAGAATGGGACACGTGCCAGTTTGAGTTGCCTTTCCAGTGTGCAAAAGAAGCCATTCGTGTGTGAGACGTCATCAGTTAGTTGGTATGGAAGCAGATAGATATCGATGTATAATTTTCACGCGGCATTTTAAAGTCGTCTGATAAAAATCGATCTCTTAAGTTCCAATGTAACTAACGCTACATGAGACACGATGAAGAAAAACCGACCTTGTTAAGCAAAAAGTTCTAAATTCTTAAGAAAACTAATATTAGCATGGACTTCGTGACGCAGACTACTTTAGACGCATCGAAGAGCTTTAATCCGGAAAGATAGGATTAGATGAAGTTTTCATTGGGCTAGGGCACGGCATATATACAGATTTGACATTTGATATGGAATATTTCAGTTTCGAAGGTATGCCTAGGTCAAAAAGCGGGCTTTTTTCAAAAAACTCCGATCTCATGTAAGATATGTGAATGGAGAAGTGTGTAGCCAGGTGTGTCGCTACCAATTAACTAAATACCAGGTTTGTTGCGCGGCTGCATTATATAATATGCAGTGATTTAATTGGGTAATGCTCCTTTGGGCAGGTCAATGCTTGGATTTGGCAAAGCATGGTTCCGTCAAAAAAGTATCCATATGTCGGCGACTACTGCATCAAAGAATTTGAATTTTTGCATGCAAGTGGTCAGTTTTGCAGTATGTAAAATTAGCTATGCAGTGCTTTACAAATTTGTTAATCTGTGGCAGAATGGCGCGAAAAGAGAGACATTGCCAGACAGATAATTGCACCCAACGAAACGGTCCGCACAGTTTTATAGAGTAATGCCCAGACTGATGTACCTACACAGAGTCCACACCCAATGTATTGAAATCTTACCACCAGGGTACAGGACCCACTGTCTTTGGGGATATGCTGTTGCAACTAAACCAAAACCACCCAGTCCTTTCAGAATGAGGGGTAAATTGCTACCAAAACGCATTTTTCAAGGCCCTTAGGGAAAACCAAACTGGTTTTAGCAGGTTAGAATACCAGACGACCTCCGAGGAACCCACTCTGTACAGCAAAACATCGATGTATGTCTCTCTAATGAATTGGAGACCTTGACTGTTTCTGGGTAGAACAATGAAACCTCGTTGCTTTCTTTATTAAGGTCAGATTTCACCTGTACCGCTCAACTAGTCAAAACAGAGTTTACAGACATCCAAAAGAGGCCAACGATGAAGCGTGTGACTAAGGTCACTAACAGCATCAGTATTTTGAGTGGATATCACATTGGTGCCAAAACACCAATTGCAGTCATCGACGAAAACCTGAACCAGATCGAATAAAGGAATAATCTGGGAACCACTTGACTATCATTTGATAGGGGGCACCTCAGGAACTATTTTGGGTTGCACGGTGAGATTGCCGGTTTACACAGAGCACTTTTAATAGCAGATTACTTACAGAACCAAGGGAATGAGCAGCTACCTTGGTCATCAAAATCGCCATATTTGTACCACATGGACAATATGTGGGTAGGCCATTATTCGCCGAATCAATGGCCTACATGTCCTACAACAAAACTGGACCAAATTGGACTTATTTTGACCGATGCCTGAAATGTTATTCCAGATTGAACTCTAAAAACCTATCCCAAGGACTGCCTTGCCACTTGAGGGCGCTGGTAGCTGCCGGAAGAGGTCAGGCGTAATAGCGACCGTTACTGTGACTAGACACTGATATGAGGGTCCTTTGTGGAGAGTGTAACTCTTCTACAGACAATAATTTGGAAAATATGGAGATCTAAAATATCACTTTTATTGGTTGTCGTATGACATAGAATAGGCAATATGTTTTTGTTTGCTTCTCTGGCGAATTCAATTAATGAACTGATGTCACAGTGACGTCAAAGAGTTAATTAAATGTAATTAAAACACGATTTTAATCATTATTTTCATATATCAGTCATCAAAATAGGTAAAAACTGTTGAAAAAAGATTTGGAAATAAATATTCCATATTAAATGTCAAGTCTGTACTTGCTTTACAGATGTCTTAAATGATGTTGTCACCCTTTGCCTAAAAACTCCTTATTTACTGCCTTACATACCTTCTTGTGAGTAATAGATAAATATTTAGTGTTCAGTGACTAAATTTATTAACATTTACACATATGTCATCTTACGGGTGACGTCATGATTGCAATTGGGGATAAACATGAAAAATCCGTATCTCAATTTCTCTTTTACCTGATTACCCACGATCGCCGTTTTAACGCCAATTAATGGCACTATTTAGTACACAAAAACCCTACCAGCAATTTTCTTTAAAGTCTTAGCTAAGATTTCATCTTTGATAAAGCAAAATAATGCCTTTGTTTAATGAAAATCTGTAATTAGGGGCTCATAACTCCGTAACAAAAACTTATTTAAACCAAAAATGACGGCACACGATTGTAAAGCCCATTCATTCGAGGTCCACTTTGCCATTTTTTTCAGGGATGAAATTACGCCCTATATCGTTTGCTATCTCACCTCAAAATAGAATGGTGTTAAATTAACGATTAAAGTTTTGAGTTACCTATCCTTATACAATGCAACGAGAAATATAAACGCCGATACTTTATATTTTAAATGTTTGTTATTGTTTTAAATTAACGCAAAGATAGATGCATTATTGAATCATTAGATGCAGGAAAAATCCCATTTTCAGTGTGTGGATGATAATGAAGGGTAATAATATCCTTAACCCAACAATGACGCAATTACTTAATAATACATTATCAATAAAGTTCATAATTATTCACTGCTGTATGATGTATAAAACAACATGATACATATGCTACTATTTAATCAAACTTGCCTGTTAAACATAGAGCATTCAATACATTATCAACAACATCGTACTTTATTGCCTTGTAGTGTTGTTTGACTGTGAAACGGAACCTAACAAACTGTACAGAAATTAATATATATTTACAAAACCTGTTATTATGCATGGAGAATGTGGGCTAAAACAAAATTTGCCTTTAGGGGGGATGGTTAGTAAACAAAATAAAATTAAAAGTCCTCATTATGAACCTATCCTACCCAAAATAAACACTACATTATGCCTGCATGTAGATGATCAGAGATTTAGGGATGAATGTCACTTGAAGCGCAGAGACTCCTAAAAGGACTTTTTTGTACAAATTTGATCTCAAAAACATTTGATTATTAATTTTCTCTTCTGATTAGTGTTAGGTATATAAAAAACAGACTAAGTTTCCGGGTAAATTGATTTTTGTTGTATAACTTGAAGAACATATTAAGAATCCACCTTTTACTTTTTATACCTTGACAGTATACCTTGACAGCATCAACTGTTACCATTAGTAAATGTTATAAATGCATGTTTAAGACTTACCTTTTCCCTTGTCTGCACAGCACACCAACACATGCAGCTAAAACGATTAGTGCTAACTTCATTTTCACAAAGTGCAGTAAACACTATGGGTAACCCAGACAGTGAGTCAGGTATATGTATAAACTGATGATAGTATGCGACCCGCGTATGTTAAGTAACTGTATAATAGGTAACCAATAAAAATAGACCTACAGGGGTACAAGTCACGTGTAACACCCACCCCGAGTTTCAGATATTACTAAAGACCCACATCTACCATTACCATGTCTAAATGGACATGTTGATAATGGAGGAGAGTTTTCTGTGGAATTCTGAAACACAGGGTACCTGCAACGTAACCAGAATTGACATGGCTGACAGGCAGGTCTTGGATTCGAGACGGAAGAGATGCAGATCATGCATTACATGAACCAGTTTTCCTGACACTTTGTTTTACATAGTTATCATTACAAAACAAAAAGTCACAATAATACAGCTGTATTTTTTCCTTATATATGTAAAACAGAAGTTTCTCAAATTTATCAAACGTAATGAGAAAATGAAATCTTCGACTGGTTTTTACCTTGAAACGGACATCACGCCGTTTAAACCTTATCATCGGTGTCACGTTTTCTGCGGGGTGTCTTCCAGATCCCCGGTCCCACAACTGGGGTAGTTGGTAACTTGGGCCACCGTACTTGAACAACCTACCATTAACAAACACTTGTTAAGCCACATGCTTCAAGCGATTGGATCAAAGCGCTTTGGACACATTAAATGCCTTTGATATATATAAACATGTGAAATGCAGGTGGTTTACAAGCTATAAGGGAACGCTGACAACAATATACGGGTGGCTGTGGAGCTTAATACATTGCCAGCAGCTTATAGCTGACTTTTTGAAATGGTGACAGAATATATATATATATATATATATATATATATATATATATATATATATATATATATATATATATATATAACGAGATTCCAAGCTGTACAAGTGCTGCCACATCCTTTCGTTCTATTTGTCACTGGTTGGTCACTCATCTCTGTTATTTCAAGCCTGAGGATATGTATCTCCCTCTTTTACGTTGTCTATACTCTTTCCCTTTGGCATGAATGAATCCATAACTCTGCTGATTGTGACAACATGCTCTGTGCTTTACCGATGAAACTAAGCAAATGATATATTTACATTAATGGAACTGTAAGATATTTGACTGTATGATTTCGTCTATTTTAACCCACACGTATTCCCTTTTGGTTGTATCAAAACTCGTTTATTTTACTTTTGTTCAGTACACGATAGGTAAACTTGTCTTTCAATAACATACACCCGATATAACACCATGTGACATTGCGTATATCATCAATATCCAAATGATATAATTAGGGCTTACCAATACCACTACAGATCACTGTTATTATCATGATTTGGGAAACATGCCATTGCCACACAAAAGCCTGCCCCCCTTGTGAAAATCCCACTCTTCATTTAATAGATTATATAGAATATAATGCTGCATCACAAAGCTTTAAGAATAAATCAGAATGTATCAAAGTACAGTATTACATTAAATCATACTGAAATTCATAGTTGCTTTTGCTGAGACGGTTAATGGTAAATAATACAATGTCCGAATTATATCCATGGAACGGCGTCAAGGGATTTGTCATCTACGGTAGAAGTTTCTGTTCATGGCTTCGTGTCTTTGTTCACTGTAAAAAGTCTGAAGAGTAAAAGCAAAAAAATATATTTTAATGAGTTGTTATCTCAAATGAGATAGGAGGTATGTTCAGAAATGCCAGTTTTCTAGTGTGCGTTTGAAATAAGGTTTCACTTAAAATTTACTCTTAAAATATCACTACACATTACCACTTAATTGGAGAACACCCTTGTTTTCTTGCTCCGTGATTTCCTCTTTAAGCTTCTTTATATCTTGCAGAAAATGCTAAAAGAAAAACAGAACATATTTACTAGAATGTCGGTGATTAATATATTTTATTTTTCAGCTTTCTATATTATGACGACAATATTTATGACCAATTATCAATTAAGCAACCTGGCCTTTTAACGACGGTGCTGAATTTTTTGTGGTCCACATTTTTACTTGGATAAAATTTTTACATAAATAATCTTGCAAAATTATAGAACATAGATTACATAGCGTGCGTGCTGGTAATGTTTTGAACAAGTGCACACTGGAATCTGTTAGTTCTTTTATTAGTCAGCACATTCCAGGGTTGCTTGTAACATGCCGTGGGAACAAATAGACGATTATCTCGGCATAACACATGTAACTAATTTTCTGGCAATAGATGTCCCTCTCAGTAGCTCCGCCAGAATCGTTGGCATACAATGCTGCCGTATTTTCATTTTGCTTCCGAGTCAATATACCGCAAGGCAAACAATGTGCGTTAAGAGAAATACGATCCATAAACAAATTTTCAAACACTTAAAGTTTAACATTTTTGTGATCGAAAATGGATTAAAGACTATGCATTAAAACTAAAGTAGTAGATATTTTTGTCAGCGGTATTGGTTAAGGCTTGCGTGGTTATAACAAAAAAGTTTCAGCTGGAAAGATAAACTATAAGATTTTTGTAAAGATATATATAAAAACATACTTACATTCGTACAAAGCATAATACAGTCCTTTAAAAGAAACACTCCAGTTACTGAAACAAATGTTTAACAATTGGTGAATACGTAATATTAAATTGCACAAAAAAACATGTTATTTGATTATCTCTAAAATCGATTAAGGTGTTCCTGGCTACTATCAAAATCAAGCCCAAACATCGGTTTACAGATACCTTTAGACAAATTTGTCGACAACTTCCATCACAAGAAAAATGGCTAATGTCTCAAACCAAATATTTCAGTGGCCCGGCTTCTTTGCATTTATCTTTAGAAGAACAAGACTAAATATTTGCCGGGCAAACAGAATAATCGCATTTGATTCATTTAGTCCCTTATTAAAATTTTGGATTTTATACGCAGTTTTAGATTTTGTTTAACGGAAACATGCTTTCTGCTGAACAATATTGTCACTGGTCCGGGTACTGGATTGCATCACGGTTTAGAAACAACAAATTGGTGCTCCTTTGTTTTATAATTATCTGTAAGCATTTATATCTGTCTAACCTAGCACATGTGTACACATGATTGATGTTTATAAATAGGTGAAAGGTTATTGGCAAGGTAACAACTATACACGTGGTCATGTACCTGGATCATGGTGTCTATCTAGGAATTCGTCTTCCATAGTTAACAATCCGTCATCATTCGTATCGACCCAGTCAAATACTGTGAGACTCCAATTGTCATGTAGTTTTTCGTTTTTCTTGGACCAGCTTCTTGCAAATTCGTCACGTGTTGATATTCCGTCCCCTTAAAGCCAGGATTAAAGAAGAGAGATTATTGAAGAAAAACGTCGAAGTTTATAGCCCAGGTCAAATATTTGTTTCAGAGGAAGAAAGAGAGAGAGAAATACTTAATTAAAGTGACATAATAAGCGCTTTAACGGGAAACGATATATTTAATACACTTTCAAATACTAAAATATTCTAATAGAATTGTAAACAGCATCGAGTGAATATGGCAATGGGTAGAAGAAGAGCAAAATGGTATAAACACAAGAGAGGGAATTTATGGTGAAGATACTTAAACACCACTCAGACGTCTAACATCTCAACTATATTTTGACACGACTTACCAGTTTAGATGCAACTTTTATGGGTACTGTTTGTTAAGTGATTTATTTTGCAACGTAGAAATTTTGTATGAATTTACTTAAAAAACACTTGGCATTTAAATAGTTCCTTACCATCCTCGTCTGTGGAATCGATCAAAGCCTGCTTTTCATCCAGAATGCCGTTCCCGTCGACGTCAGAGAGCATGCAGAGCCACTTCCCAATTGCCATCGCAGCCAGTTGAATGTCTTGTTCTGGTATCTCTCTGGTCTTGCTATTTTATTGAAATAACGTTTTAGTGTGTATTATATAAAGAGGTATAATTGCATTGGTATCGGTGCAAACAATCAAATGATGCATAAGAGATAAAAAAATAATTAAAGCTTATAAGTAAAAATATTTGCAGTGATAGTATGTCGATGTAAGTAAGATAAGAAGTTAAAAAACATTAAATATATAATGTTTATACGTGGAAAAGCATACTGTTGGCATGACACTTGATGTCAGATTAAACAAGTAATGAATGTGTCATAAACAGTATTTTAAATACTCTTAATACTAGCACATACATGTAGATGAATCTAGAGAATACATGTGACCGTTGCGATAGATATACGCCTTTCTCTCGGTATGTATGACACATTCACCCCATTTCCATAGATTAGATCGACCTAACTCCCTGGGGGTTCACGCTAAATAGCTGTCAGCCGGGCGGACACGAAAGTTAATTACCCCCTTACTGCTTGTAGTAGGTGGGACGGACATTTAAGTCGGATTATCTGAAAGTAATCTAGTGAGACTCCCCGCGGGGATAGATCGATCTAAAATCTATGGGAATAGACCCATTGTGTACACTGCCACCCTCTCGATATACCTGTATATATAAATTTATCGCCTACAAGTAGAACGTTGTGAAAAAAATTAAGATTTTTAGGGACTTTAGTTTGCTTGTCATTGAATATTGAAAAAAAAAGGGAAATACACCCTACTGACAGTAAAAGAAGCATTTTAAAATTTAAAAATAAACTGTTTTCCATTCGTATCAGAAATGCCAAAATATCATGGAAACTAGAAAAGAGAGCGCAGACCTCCGCCAAGACAGCGATTTTTGATTATTATTGATTATTGATTGGTTATTGATCCGGATCACCACCAAAAAAACTAATCATCTGTTCTTTGGCCCACTTCTGACAATTCCTGAAAATTTCATAAAAATCAGTCCATAACATTTTGAGTTATGTTGATGACAGACAGACAGAAGGTCAGACAGAAAGACAGACAGACAAACAGGGGTGAAAACAATATTTTTTTCAGTCAGCAACAGAAAACCCTGTTTTCAATTGTACAAAGTGCTTGGGCAAGATGAAACTTTCTGGCAATTTTTCTGGAGAACATAGGTCACGTAGTATTAGCCATGATGATGATGCAAAATTAAATACAACTTCGAATTCATTTTTTTGTAATATTTCAGCATTTTTAATGCACTTAATTGTACTATTACTTAATATCACATTGTATATACCAACTGTGCATTTGCTGTAAAGAACATAAACACGTACAGATAAGACAAGGAGTGCCACCTTCATATTGCGGGTTTTGGACACCCACAAGGAATATAAATGCAGAACCGAGACAGAATGAAGCGTATGTGTAAATGAGATAAGGTACCACACGTCACGAGTATTTTCGTCTTTTAAGAGATTATTACAAAAAAACGAAGTTTTTAGAAAAAAACAGGGACTAACCATGAATGTATGGAAAAATTGTTGTTTACTCCAGGAAAATTCATATATATATATATATATATATATATATATATATATATATATATATATATATATATATATATATATTTTTTTTTTTTTTTTTTTTTTTTTTTTTTTTGCCAAAACAGTTACTATTCCTTCAATAACTAAGAATCAGCCATGCTTTTTGCTTGTTTTATTGATTAATGCAGCTACACTGCTGGTGTAATGACACTGAAGAGATTATTCAGAAATTTCAAAATACAAATCAAAACCTTTGTGTTAGTTTATCAGTCAGAAATATAGGTAAAAAACGAAGAAAATTTGACAACAAAATCGAATAAACTTTCCATATTACATAGTAGACAACATGTTTTGTTTTAGAAGATTGGCCGTTTTTTTATAATTGAGTGTTAACGATTTAAGTGTTGTTATTTTTCACTTTAGTTATGATTAACTTTTGTTAAGCTTAAGGCGCAAACAACTGCCGTTCATGCGGTCGCTAAATATCTTTCTACAATACTTACCTTTTCCCGTAAAGAATCCCAATACAAACAGCCACAACAATAAATGCTACTTTCATATTGCTTGGTTTTCTCGAAAAGTGTGGTTAATGCAACTGTAGAACACAGAAAGAATCAAGCATATGTATACTTTTGATACGCTGTTCGTGGTTAGCGCCTGGGGCTGTGCAATAGTTAGTAAGGTAAACAATAAGCAGCCAATGAAAATATAACTACAAATCACGTGTTACACTCACCTTGAGTTTCAGGGATTACTGTAGACCCACCTCCACCACGTCTATTTTGGCTTGTTGGTAATGGAGGAGAGAGTTTTCTGTGATCTCTGAAACTCAGGGTGCCTGCAACGTGACCGGTTTTGGCATTGGATTTAAAGAGAAGAAGACATATCACATGAACGAATTTTCTGTTCTGATCTTTTTTTTCGACCGAAAAATAGGCTGTTTAGCTTACCGAGGAAAAATACTTTTTTGTTGATATATCCTGTAGCCAGTGAGCAAGCAGATTGCCAAGTGGTTACTTTTTTATTGAGAAAATAATAAATATAATGATGAAAACCAATTCTTGAACAAATTTATGGAAGCAAATATGAGAATTTACTTGGAATACTCTCTTGTGTAACACGTCTTTTGAAGCAAGAAAAATACCTTCAGAATTCTGGGATACATTTTTCTGACTAGGGTCAAATGAGAGAAAATGTAAAGTTGAGGATTATTAATATGAATTCATTCAAATAATTAGGTAATAGTAGTAACATAATACAATAAGTGAAAAGGCAATGCCACCCCTCGTAACCCATTCTATATATAACTGAACTGCCTCAGAATGAAAACGAGCATATTTAGTGACACTAGTTTTCATTGTATTGCGAAACAAAACGTTACTTTACACTAAACACAGTTCACTTAATATTGAAATACATTAAATATCACAATAAACGTACCCGTTAACAACATAGACAACCAAAAGCACCACACTTAAAGTCACAAAGGCATGTTGTAATATAAAACCGAATTAAAAGCCCAAGCTGGCATTGCCAATTTCAAAAGTCACTAGATTATCACTTGTGGTCATTCAATGAACTGACCTTGATTGGTTTTAATTTAAAATACACTGGTAAAAATTCATTTAGCCGTTTTTAATCGCTAAATATGGTACCGTGCCATATGATTGCTTCGTTTTGTCACCATGCAACCCAATTTCACTGCTGAATGCCAAAATGAACCCAAAACATCAATCATCGTCTGAACTCACTTAAATGTATAGTATAATAGCATAGGATTATAGGATAGAAAATTGGAAGAAAGTCAACTGTTTAAAGTAATGGGGAACATACTTCAACGTCTGACACATCTATCACTGGTATGATACTAGAGTGTATTAGTATGTTGTCTATACATACTCATTCCCTTGCGTATCAATGCGTTCATTACCGCTGGTTGTGATAACATGCTTGGTGCTTCACCATTTAAGCAAAGAATATATAATGAATTTAAATTTACTGTAACAACCTGTGATGACTGTCTTTGTCTATTCTAAATCCACACCTTCCCACTATTAATATTTTGTTGTTTTTTTTACATTTATTTACTACGAAACATACATGTACACATGATATAACACCATATTATACAACGCATCATGACCGACTTTATGTTGGTGTAATTTTTTTATAACTGTTCAATATATACTCGTAGATTACTGTGGTTACACTTGTCCCCTTGTGAATACTGTGTATGTCATCCTTTATGAATTTAATATAAACATGTGTTGCATCACAAATGCACTATCACATCATGCTGTACACTATCACAAAATAAATAGATCTAAAGTCGACGCATTTGTTTATAAGCAATGAGCAGGGCTTCAGAGGGCCTGGGTATGGTGCCTGTTGGAATATGAATATGGACAGGGGTCGTAGGTAATCCACGATGTAACATGTTTGCTGCAGAAATGTTTTCTTTTACACTGGGATACTATAATATTTTTACGAGTAAATGACCATGTGACAATGGGAATGTTTGGTATATCGCAACCATTTGTAAAAAGTGTGTCAGTAATACTCGTTCGATTGAGCTAGTTGACTTCTCTTTCCAGACCTGCATGTTACGCATGTCAGAGTTGGTTACGTTGCAGTCACCCTGAGTTTCAGAGACCACAGAAAACACCATTATCAATGTGTCCAAATAGACAAGATTTGGGTCTACAGCAATCTAAGAAATTCTGGGTAAGTGTAACACGTGATTTGTAGGTCTATTTCCATTGGTTGGTGACTATATTTACATGAAGTTAGTATATATAGCGTGGTGTGTGTGAGTTACGTGATCTGGGTTAAAGACTTGGGACCCATCCCCTATCAGTTTATACGTAAACATACATGTACTTCACTCAATATCACGTTTTAAAACCAATTGCAGTCACTGTGCTTTCTAAAAAAGCAATGTGAAGGTAGCACTTCTAATTTTAGCTGTATGTGTTGGCATTCTACATGGGGATAAGTTAATATTACAGAATTATTTTAACGACCGTATGGAGGGTAATTATTGAATACAATAAAGATATAGATATGCCTCTTAGGAAAATAAAAATGGACTATGAAATTAAACAACACAGGCAATAAGGAAAAAGATTACGCAGTTGAAAGGACTTATAAAACTTTCATCAAACAGTGGGCAAGTTTTATTAAGCAAAGTCAAGCACAATGTTCTTTTATATGTCGCATGTTAATTATCATTATAATGAATAATTATAAGGTTTTTTTAAAGTAATTGCGTAATTGATGGGCTTAAACTTTGGAAAAGGCAGTGTAATTATTCATTGTTGTTCTTCCGAAACGATAAGCATATGTAAAATCGGGGTGACTGCAACGTTACTGTAATTGAAATGGATAGCATGCAGGTGTGAGATTTGAAAAAGAAGATTTCTCGTAACATTTTAAATATACAAATAAATTGTAAAGATAAAGACGAGGACTGCGTTTGAGCTGAACAGCAGGTGCTGATCGACTCCATAGATGTTTTAACATGATGTATGGTTACAGCCTGCACAAATGACATCTGAAACTGTGCAAAAAAAAAGCAGTAAATAACATATACAGTAGACTGCTGAAAAGTTTGATGATCATCATGTTGTTGATATGATATCTAAATGTTGCTCTAAAATATTATTCAACCCTGGATGTATACATAATTAAACAAAAAAACTATTTATTTTTTTCTCTTTTGTGTAAAGGGACAGGATCCATTAAAACGTGGTATCAAAAAGTGAAGTAAAAACTTTAAACTGGCGTTTTAAACCGCTCTCTATAGAATCTAAGTGCGGTTTATAATAGAAGGAAGTATGCCTAACATCCATAAAATACAAAATGTTGGTTTTAAAATTTCGACCAATTTTTCGGATATTTATATTATTTTTTTTCCATTAACTTGGTTATTGATTCAATTATTTATTTATTATTTATGATTTTTGTAACACCTGTCCTAAACCTACTGTCACCATTTTGTAAACTCACATTCATAACAAAAGCAAATCAAACTATAATGTAATAGCGTTTGTTTGTGTGATGCTTCTTCATATCATATATTTCTCTGTTTCAGACATTGTAGAACTCTCTATAAAGGATTGTATTCTGCTTTGTGCGAATGTGAGTATTTGACGTTTTTCACATCATGCTATATACCGCATTGCAACGTTTCGAGATTGTCGACAACTTTACAACTTGATTATAACGGAAACAGAACTCCCGTGCTTCACGCGAACATTTTTAAAACAAGATTGGTTTTGATTGGTTTAGAGACTTTGAATCGAAGTGGAACAAAAAAAAACGTGAAATATCATGTAGACGTTGCACGACATGACAAGGACCTTCAATTCACGAAATTTTCTTTCCTGCAACAGTGTCATATCAGTGACCATTATGAAAAAGATTCCTGCTGCCTCCACACTAAGCACTCAGCATATACTAGTAGAGGGGGCAGCATGGTCATGGCTTTATGCTGGTGATTATTAATCTAAACAAAAAATATGCACATGACACAGCTTGGGTTGCTCTGTATGCTCCCAGGGACAGATGGTGAGACCAATTAAGAACTGATAAAAGATTCGTACATGCACATTGCACCAATAGTGAAGTACGATTATTTACACAATACAATCTAACTGATATCATATAAATATACTCCCCTACCAAAAAAGTATCACCCCTTCCCGCAAATATGTACATTGCTACAAGGGAACCCATAATTTTAATTTTCTGGCATGGACACCAGCCAATAACTGGGCAAAGATATTGTTCTCAAATGAAAGCAGGTTAAGCTTTGTCAGAATTTGGAGAAAAGCTGGTGAGAAGTAGCTTCCCCATTTTCCGCATCTGGTCGACAGGACGTAGGCTACCCCACATAAGTCATAGCATTGGATGTATTGGGTACTGTGGTGCAGGCGGGCTGACAGTGGTCAGCGGGAACCTTGCATCCAATTAATGGAAAGAAATTAATAGGAATTCTGTCGAAAATATCTTTGGGGACCATGATCACCCATTTACGTTTCAGCATAATAAAGTTCTCCCCCTACAACCAATGCAAACAATCGGCTGGTTATTTGTGAACCAGATCCAGAACCCCCATTAGCCAGCTCAATCCCTAGATCAAAACCTCAGTAAGAATGTGCGGGATATCCTCGGAAATGGATAACTGAGATATAACCCTGCAAACAAAAATTACCTCATACTGTCCTTGTACCGTAGGTGGAACTCCATCACTGTGCGAACTTTTTGACTCAATGCACTGATGCGTCCAATTCAAAGGATACTGTACAAAATACCAAATGTGTATTTAATTTCTTTTTACTATGGTTAGCATATTAAATGGTTGTACAACCAGTGAATTTTTGTGGAAAAATTCCTTTTAGAATTTAAAAACATTGGTACATGAAATGATTTTGTGTCACTTTACGCATTGCGTTAGGGGTGGCACTTGTTTGCAAGGGAAGTATATACACCATTACCACTTTAATACTATCATTACTGTTTTTAACAGCAACGTTTTCAAACCCATGAAGGGTACCTTTAAATCCACTATATTATTTGCCTAGTTGCATTGGTGAAGCACCGAGCATGTTGTCACAATCTGTAGAGTTATGAACGCATTCGTAGTGAAGGAAATGGAGTTCGACAACGAATCAACACACAGTGGCATTATGCCAGTGATCGTTGTGTCAAAAATGATAGTCCATTCGCATCATTTTGTACAGATGATATTATACATTCTTTCCACATACTGACCACAGTTCTTTAACCTCGGTATTACTTTATTTGAAACACTATTAAGGAATGAAATATGTTAAATGTTAACGTTACAGGTGAGGTACAAATATTTATAATCAATTGAGGTTGGAACGCTGTACGTAATACTAATGAATTGGTTGGATAATACATTTTGTTTTCACTTGAGCTTATTAAAATTGTAGATGTAATATTCTGTTGGAATACCATAACCATAGCAATAGTCTATATACACCGGTTCATGAGGACATTATGATGATATAAATACTAGGAAGTCTATAGTAATCTCTGAATTTCAGGGTGGATGTAGCACGTGATTAGTAGATCTATTTTTATTGGTTGCCTCCAGTGGGCCGCAAAGTCGAATGCATCAACGCGGGATTTTTTCTACACGAATCCTTGGTTTAAATAGTGGTGCTTTTATCAAGGCTTATAGATTAGACTCAGTCTGGTCCTCATTTGCATTTACTGTACTTTTCGATGAAAACCTACAATATGAAGATTGCAATTCTCGCTTTGGCTGCATGTGTCCTTGTTCAATACGGGCAAAGGTAAGTACTACAGAAACATATTAAAAGAACTCACAAGCGGTAGCAGTTTGCCCAATTAAGATTTATCTTTAAGAAAAGTAAAAGGTGGATTTTGAAATCAAACAATATTATGTTGAAGTAATGTATTGGGCAGTCTTAGACCTACTCGCGCATGCACATTCATAGAAATGGTCAATTTTCTAAAACAATGACATGCACGTATTACGTTATGTACATGTATAAATTTCAGTTACCGTGGACTTTCACTATGATGATGATAATTAGAATTAGGTAGTTACGTACTAAGTGCATTCGAACTTCTCCAAATGCAAGCAATTGGCCCATGTTGCTTTTCCTTAACGCTAACGGTCAAGATTTAAATTATTATAATGGGCCTTCGTTGTCTGAACATGTGGTTTCATGTAACATACATGTATATGCATACCCTGTCTCTACAGCCCAAGAAAATATTGCCAATCTTGCAGTATTGTAAATGGCTTATACTTTATGATTGTTGCATCCCTCTCTCATATCTGGATGTACTCAATTCTCACAGTCATTTTAACTTAACAGGTCTAATTAAATCAACTTCAACGAAACAGCATACTCAGTCCCCAGATGTAAGTTGATCAAATTATCCAATGTCAAAAAGGTAGTTTCGTTAGTTTAGTTTTTCTGTCCTTAGTGAAATGTGACGGCTTGTGTTGTAAAACAAATTATATATCATTATAAGCATTGGCTTTATTCAGAATCCGTAAGCGTGGATATTTTAGCAACTCGTACTTTTTGTAGCTTGCATAATTGAGTTTGAATATGGGAAAGACAGAGGCGGATTGAGGCCGTCTTCTGGGTGTTCCGGAAGACTGTCAGATTTTCAATTTTACATTGACAGGTATTTAATTTTTTCTATCGGAAGACGGCCAAAAATGGAGGATTGATCAACAAAGATAATTTGTAAGACTTTAAGAAAATATCTCTGGATCCGCCCCTGGATAGAGATGAAAAGAAACGTTGGTGATCATGTTGGTTGTGGTTTGACGGTTTTGCTTTGTGTAACAAATTATTTTTTCAGTCTTTTATTCAGAATTTACTACCATTGTATTTGGAAAGCTCAAATTTGAAAAGAATACATACGAAACAAAACAAAACAAAATGCTGGTGTTCGCCATAATTAGACCCATAGCAATAAAGAATTGCAGCGTTCCTCACAATGAAAAAAGGTTAATGACATTTTGTGCTAAAATCAACACATTCAGGCAGATTGAATTGACTGACGGAAAAAAAGATATTGAATTAATATTTTGCGTTTTCAAGTTTGCTGACTGTCTGTCAAAAGCTTATTCGATATCGTGTAAAGATCGCACTTTAGCTGTTTTCGATTTAATTTTTGTGATAGATGATTACACTGCACACGTGGTTTTATAATTTAAAACTAGAACATAAAATAACGGTTAAAACGTTAAATCTAAGTATGGAATAGAGTGTTGTTCCAACAAGTGTTTTTTTACAGGTCGCCCTTGGTCTGTGTTGGATTTTTCCTTCTAATTTTGATTTCAGTTTCAAGCCTAACTTTGATCTGCAATGGGCTGCAATAGAGGTTTCGAAAATGGCTTGTTTGTTATATGACACTGATCTCGATGGGTATTTCACTCCCATAGATGACGAGTACTATTTCAAAGACAATGATCTGAACAGTGAGTCCTTCGATTTCGCTGTACAACATCCCTCTCTCTCTCTCTCTCTCTCTCTCTCTCTCTCACACACACACACACACACACACACACACACACACGCACACACACGCGCGCGCGCAGTCATTTCCCTGAATCAACCTCTCTTTATTCACATTTATCATTCTACTAAAAAAAAAAAGCTTTGCAACAAGCATTTGTACATGAAATTATTCAGCATATTCCTTATCAGGAGATGGCATTATAACGTGGGAGGAGAATTTAAAACGCTGGACAGAGCTGGAACCCAGACTCCATGCCAACTGGATTAAACATATTTTTGACTCAATGGACTCAAACAGCGACGGAGTAATTTCAAGAAATGATACACTTTTTGACGTTTTTAGTGTTGGAGGTGGGTACCAAAGCCCATGCGTTGGCGATCTTTTTAAGTTAAAATCTCTCTCTCTCTCTCTCTCTCTCTCTCTCTCTCTCTCTCTCTCTCTCTGAATAATAATAATAATAATAATAATAATAATAATAATAATAATAATAGGACTGGACCAAATTATTCTAATCATAAACACGCTCAACGATTTGTTCATCATTTGAGGGCATTTTTCTTATTTATTTCTATTTCAGAAAAAACAGAAATTTCCTTAGTTGAGTGCATCAAGATATGCGCCGGGGTAATGTAACATTCACTAGTATTTACCATATTGCTTGGACCCGTTTAGCCAAAAGTTGAAAAGTTTTGGGTATACATGTAGCGTCAGCTGGGTAATGTCGACTTAAGGATATAAGACTGGGTTCCCATACCTAGACCGATCTGATAAGATCGATCCATCTCCGAGGGGATTCTCGCTGAGTCGCTTTCAGCTTAAGCGGCTTATATGTCTGGCACGCTACTGAAGCTGCTTAACGATAATTAATTACCCCCTAGCAGCTTTAGTAGACATGACAGACATCTTAGCCGCTTAAGTTGATTGCAATTAAGCAAGAACCCCCACAGAAATAGCTTGATCCACGGTTAGCACGATACAGTCTCGGCATAGTCCCTATGGGCCATTCAGAATAGATGATCTGAGTGCTAACTAATCCGCCGACTAAATATAGCCGACCACACTTCAAAAGCGATGCCGCTTATTCCCGATGGTTTCCCCGCCTCCACACGCGCCTTTATACGGATTAAATTCCGGGTTCGAGGTTAAATTGCTAGGCCTCTGCAGCGACGGCGTGTGTGGAGGGGGGCATCATACAAATTATAGCATTTGTGTGGTCGGCCATATTTAGTCGTCGGATCAGTTAGTACTCGGATCATCTATTCTGAGTGGCCCCCTTAGGTCCGCGTTTTACAAGCGATTGGTCCACAATGCATTTTGTTGGCATACCTATAAATTGTCTTAACTGACAAACCCCCAGCGTAAAGGCAACCACAACATTTTCTGGGGGTTATTTAAAGGGCAGAAAACGCTACCCTGAGTGTCAGGGCACTGTAAAGCTAGCTTGCTCAATGTACCTTTTCATGTGTTGGCTTTACAGTGGTATTGCTGATGTGGGTTATATATGAAATCAAGACCGAAATCTAGAAACTAGGGTAGAAAACGCGGTATGCTTTATGTTTTAGTGAAACAAAACTTTGTCAGCTGTAAATTATTTCAATTTGAATTTCAGCTTTACTTGCAAGATCCGCAACAGTTTCAAAAAGAAATAGAAGAACAAAAAGCGAAGAATCTTTTCCCATCTACACGTAAGTTCATTCTTACTTTCTTTTTAGTCAACTCGATTGTGGATAAAGAATTTCAGCGCTTTTTTTGATAGAGTTAACCATGCTGTCTTTACAATTTATTTTCGCACGTCTGGTCTAAAAATGGAAAACAAATAGGTTCGTTTGTCTATTTATTTCTCTATTTATTTATACATTTTTTGTCTTTTCAGTTCCATGAAACACCGTTTCCTCATAATCCAAAAATTAGAGGAACGCGTCACAGAAAAATATTAGACAGTCGATATTACGTAGATACATGTAAGCGGACAAACACTATGACGATGACTTTGAGAACATGAAATAAATCATGATAATGCCAGTCCATTTAAAGTCTCATTTTCTTTTTTCTACCCTGCAGTAGCACTATTAAAACAGCCCCGCTGGAAAGTCCACACCAGACAGCAATTACCATGAGTTTTGTTCAGTACAAATTCTCTTTACGTAAAAAAGAGTAAGTTACTGATGCTGACTTGTTCAAATTTGAGTCAATTTCGTCTTCAAGAGTATGTCGTATGACTTCCTTTTCACTGGTAAAGAAAGGATTGGCTATCTTTGCGCACTATTATTCGTCGGTGGTCCATTTTTTAAAAATAAATTGAATTAACTAATATATACATAATCAACGAGAGGACTGTTTCTCAAAAAAGCTACAGATAGTTGTGTGTGTATTATTCTAATCTACCAAGACTTGGTTTTGCTAAGAATCTAACTTTGGCTGAGGCCAGACAAAATTGAAATCTTTTTTCTTTTCTTCAACATAGTACGTTTAAGAGGCATAACAATTAAATACTAGGAATGATATTAGGGGGAAAATGCATACCACAGTGTGGGAAGTTTCAAACATTAGAACAACAAAATTTCCCATTGATGAAAAAAAAAAAAAANTCAGAATAGATGATCTGAGTGCTAACTAATCCGCCGACTAAATATAGCCGACCACACTTCAAAAGCGATGCCGCTTATTCCCGATGGTTTCCCCGCCTCCACACGCGCCTTTATACGGATTAAATTCCGGGTTCGAGGTTAAATTGCTAGGCCTCTGCAGCGACGGCGTGTGTGGAGGGGGGCATCATACAAATTATAGCATTTGTGTGGTCGGCCATATTTAGTCGTCGGATCAGTTAGTACTCGGATCATCTATTCTGAGTGGCCCCCTTAGGTCCGCGTTTTACAAGCGATTGGTCCACAATGCATTTTGTTGGCATACCTATAAATTGTCTTAACTGACAAACCCCCAGCGTAAAGGCAACCACAACATTTTCTGGGGGTTATTTAAAGGGCAGAAAACGCTACCCTGAGTGTCAGGGCACTGTAAAGCTAGCTTGCTCAATGTACCTTTTCATGTGTTGGCTTTACAGTGGTATTGCTGATGTGGGTTATATATGAAATCAAGACCGAAATCTAGAAACTAGGGTAGAAAACGCGGTATGCTTTATGTTTTAGTGAAACAAAACTTTGTCAGCTGTAAATTATTTCAATTTGAATTTCAGCTTTACTTGCAAGATCCGCAACAGTTTCAAAAAGAAATAGAAGAACAAAAAGCGAAGAATCTTTTCCCATCTACACGTAAGTTCATTCTTACTTTCTTTTTAGTCAACTCGATTGTGGATAAAGAATTTCAGCGCTTTTTTTGATAGAGTTAACCATGCTGTCTTTACAATTTATTTTCGCACGCCTGGTCTAAAAATGGAAAACAAATAGGTTCGTTTGTCTATTTATTTCTCTATTTATTTATACATTTTTTGTCTTTTCAGTTCCATGAAACACCGTTTCCTCATAATCCAAAAATTAGAGGAACGCGTCACAGAAAAATATTAGACAGTCGATATTACGTAGATACATGTAAGCGGACAAACACTATGACGATGACTTTGAGAACATGAAATAAATCATGATAATGCCAGTCCATTTAAAGTCTCATTTTCTTTTTTCTACCCTGCAGTAGCACTATTAAAACAGCCCCGCTGGAAAGTCCACACCAGACAGCAATTACCATGAGTTTTGTTCAGTACAAATTCTCTTTACGTAAAAAAGAGTAAGTTACTGATGCTGACTTGTTCAAATTTGAGTCAATTTCGTCTTCAAGAGTATGTCGTATGACTTCCTTTTCACTGGTAAAGAAAGGATTGGCTATCTTTGCGCACTATTATTCGTCGGTGGTCCATTTTTTAAAAATAAATTGAATTAACTAATATATACATAATCAACGAGAGGACTGTTTCTCAAAAAAGCTACAGATAGTTGTGTGTGTATTATTCTAATCTACCAAGACTTGGTTTTGCTAAGAATCTAACTTTGGCTGAGGCCAGACAAAATTGAAATCTTTTTTCTTTTCTTCAACATAGTACGTTTAAGAGGCATAACAATTAAATACTAGGAATGATATTAGGGGGAAAATGCATACCACAGTGTGGGAAGTTTCAAACATTAGAACAACAAAATTTCCCATTGATGAAAAAAAAAAAAAATACAGAAAGGTGGGGGCACATTTTTTTTCATTCGTAAAATAGGTAAAAAAAAATTCCTCAAAATAAGGTCGGGTCGCGCTCGTTTACCAAAACTTGTCAATTTTGTCTGGATTCGCCTCATTTTTTCGATCTTTTAACTAAGCTTTGAACAAGTCTGTATTAATGAACATCTTTACTCTCAGTTGTGACACCAGCCCATTTAAGTATGCAAAGTACATTGATTGTGTACCAATCATTCGAAAGAGCTATTAGACAAATATCACAAAACTGATTTCGCGTAGTCGGCTATCCGATTTTACAGTCGAGGCTGAGCTCCAGCCCCACAAATGCTGGATCTAAGGTGTGCATCTAAATGTTCACCAAACCGGGGCATAAGTAATCCAGCACCTGTGCTATCATTTCATTTGCACATTCGGGGCGGCAAAGAAAGCCGAAATGTGTACCCAGTAAGTACTCGGTGCACATATCATTTTAAGTGTACTTTGTATAAAAGAGAAATTGGGAAATCAACCCCTCGTGTTATAATTCGGCTAACATAAAGCATTACATTCTTTTTAAAACCGTCAAAGAGACTAATATGTCGAAACTCGGTATTGCGAACTCATTGCTTTCATATACATTAATACTAAGATACATAATAATGGAGTACAAGTAATTTTGGAAATAAATAAATAGATAAGCAAATTAAGGCATTAATAATACAATAGACGTTAACAAAAATACCTTTCTCTTTGTCAAATTACTCATTCTTTATATTTAAACAGTTTGGCACAGAGAATCCCGTTGAACCTCTTCATAGCAGCATGGCATGTCCCCAATATGAGGGAACTGTCTCTGTTCAGAAGTGGTTTCCATACATATTCCTCTGTCATGTGGACCACTTCCTCCCCTTCACCCGTTGCTTTTTTCCTCAGCATAATCGACACTAACGAGGGCAAGGTAAAGCTACGGCTCCCAAGGGTATATTTCACTCGCATATCTACGTACAGTTCATTTTCTCCGTGAACGGCCTCGAATTTCTCTACTGAGCTAGCTGTCAGCGTTTTTTTCATGATTGGAATCACGCACGACAACTCGCGTTTCCCGTAGAATTTCGCGACGGGGTCCTCAAATATGACGTCATCACTGACATGTTTCAAGCTGTCAAGAGTGGCGGTGGCGGCGTAAACTTCCTGTATGCCTTTGAGAAGTTCTCCTCTGTTTTTCACCACTGTCTCTCTCTCACTCTCGCTGACATCCCAATTAGGCGCAGGCATGGCCTTCTTTGGGGCATATTTGAGGTGATACAGGAGATGTGACGTCACACCTGTATAAGCGAGGATTGGTGTCCCAATTAATAGGCTTACAACTCCCATGTTATCAAAATGGCTTCGATAGTAGTGTATGATATATATTACTGTGTATTTCTCTCACAGAGTAGCCGTGATATTGTGACCTAGATGCCCAAAAATTGTCGACTTGTTCACATTGGTGTTCACACCTAGGTAAACAAGGATAAACGCACCTGCTTGTAGCTTTTAGCTGGGCTAATAGGTGTAAGAACCGAGTCCCTCTGTACACAATAAACGACTGGTTTGTGATCAAAGTTCAGGTATCTGTGAGGTATATACTAACACAGGTAAATGAAACAAATCACCAGCACCGTCTTCAGTGGGTCGAAATAGCGTTTTCGATCGTTGAGGTAGTATACAAAATGTATATCAAATAGATCTGAATGTCTTCCACGAATTCTGTGCTGAAGTCCCCTGTGTGCAGATGTGGCTTCTTAAGCTTGTTGAATCTGTCCTATAATGCAACACTGACCTATATTTATACACGATTTGCACGCTCGAGGCCACTGGGTTCTCTACGCTGAAATGTTTACCCTTCTTGCATCAGGTGTGCCGTTATACAGGTATGATGGTAATGATTACTGTACCTCACTGCGGTTAGACTATTAGATAAAAGACCTATTTTGAGACCTATACATACGCCCCAACCTCAAAACAAATAATCCACATTACCCCGCTGCTGATGTCAGTGTCACAAGGACCTCTTGCCTGAAATATTTACGTTGATTACATCAGGGGAGACGTCACATATTGAGGTGAAGGTCGCCGGCTAATTTTAGCGATCATTGTTAGTAGGAATGGTTTAGTTCACTGCTAGTCAGGCTAGTGCACTGCATAATATTACCGAGCTTTGGGCTATCGTACATGAATGTTAATTCTCACTGCTGATTTAATCTGTGATAAAAATGTTTGCCAGACTTGGAGCAGGTTTAAATAAAGAATTAACACCCATATGCACTGGTAGAACTAGTGATGGGGGGAGAAGAGGATGCTGCGGGATGGGGATGGGGGAGGGGAGGCTCAATTGAACAATTTTTTTATTTAAAGGGTTAAATCATTTTTAAGGTGTATGTAAGGTTTTACAAGAAGCTGTCGATGGCAAAAATAACCATTTTGAGGATTTCCAAACCCATGGAGAGTACATTTAAAGTTTCAGATTCGGCCATGCTAATGTTGGGGCACGGTCTTTAGAAAAGTCAAGTATTAAGAACCAAAATCACCTTTTCCTGAATATCCTGGAAACCTTTTCCTGGAAAAGGACGCTAATTAAGTAGTATTCAGGCATCAGACTCGTCTGCAGAAGTTTTAAATTGTAAACATGACTTAAAATATTTAATTTTCCAGATGCGATGTACAGTACGTGTAGCTTCTGGGTGTTAAGTCTTAGGAGTGATTCAAAGACAGCTAGCGATTGCAATACCTTAAAGAGTTTTGATTGAACAACCTTATCTCTTTTATGATAACAATAAACTGATTTACATGGAAAGAGTTTACAGTCCGGACGTAATATCTCCACCACCAGATTACCACAATAAGTGATTCCCAGTCCGTGCTTTCAAGTTATCAGTTTAGTAAATTTGACAATACTCGAAATGACCTTCAGAGCCCAGCCTCTTCTATGCATGACCCATTAGTGATACATAAGTTCGAAGTCCGTTTTCAGATACAATTTAAGTCTTTCATGAATTCAGATGATGCAATAAAGAGTTATAACAAAGGCAAAGCACACAAAGAAAGGGTTAAGTTACTATAGAAAATAATCAATCAAACTGATATTGATCATTTATAAATTTTACATGTCTTACGCAAATGAAAATCGTTTTACGTCACTTATTCAGGACCCAATGACATATGTTTCCTCTCCTCCTCACAATAATAATGAGAATTAAGTTACCTTGCAAACATTCCCCACAGAATGCGCACCTAGTCGGAAGCTGAGATGGACTGATCTTTGTAAACGGCGAGCATAAACTAAAAAAAGAATTGGTCGAAGAAGAGTCAGGCTTCCAATAACCGTCTAATTTTGAGAGGAGCGGCGCTTGTAGCTTTTGTTCTCGCTGCCTCACTGAAGGGAAAATACTTAGTCTTAAATTTTGTTTATATCTTTTTCGTTAGTCAATTTTTTAAGGAAACAATTTGTAGGTTACAAACAAAATTCATCTTCACCTCCGCCACGAAGGTTATGTTTTCATCCGTTTGTCTGTTCGTCACCTGCCTTACTCAAAAAGATATATATGGATTTTGATCAAATGAACAAATAAACAAGATGGGTCAGAAATGGGCTAACTTAAAAGTGATTCGATTTTGTAGATGATCCATGAATCAATTAATGAGTAATTATTACTTCATTTTTTGTCTTGGCGGAGGTTTGCACTTTCTAAGTGCTTTTCTAGTCGCATTTTTTATTGTTACCCCCGCCAAAGAGGTTATGTTTTTATCTCCGTTTGTCTGTCTGTCTGTTTGTCACCAGCCTCGGTATGTATGTTATGTGAAATAATGTACTGCCACCCTCTCTCGTTATAGACGCCTTACTGACGCCTTACTGCCAGGGTGGCAGATATTATAGGGGGAAAAGTGAAAAAACAGAGATAGTAAAATAACCGTCTATTTATTTAAAGGCATATCTGTGAATATCCTGTGAAAAGTCAATATGTGGCCCTGGTAGAGGGTAATACCGTGACAGTGTATTATCTCACACATAACTTGACTCTATACATATGATTTCATTAATAATTAATCAATTAATAATTATGAGAATTAAGTTACCTTGGCGGAGATTTGTGCTCCCTGTGTGCTTTTTGCTACAAATGTTAAACAAATGTTCATTTAGCATACATGTAGAGGCTAAATGTGAAGCACTATTTTAAGGAGAAGAAATGCCAAAGACAGTGCAGGCGATTTTAGAGAATAAAAACAACAGCATTTACGTTTTTCTAGAGTTTGTTAAAAACTAATACTTAGTCATTTTTCCATGCGAAAAAAAGGTACGAAAATTTCCTCATAATAAAGATTGGTTACGCTTGTTTACCGACATATTAATTTTGTCTGGATTTATCTGATTTTTTCGAACTTTTAACTAAACCTTGAGCGAGGAGTGATTGTATTGACAAAAATCTTTAGACTCACTCGTGACATTTAGATAGACCAAAAACATTTATTGTGTGTCAATTATTCTTTTAATCTCTTACACAAATATCACAAAATCGACTTCACCAAATTAGGCCATAAGTAAGCTCAGCACCTGTGCTATTATTTCATTTGCACATTTGGGAAGAAGAAAGCCAAGATTCTTACCTCGTTATTGGGAATCCAACCCCGTTGTATTATCATACTGCTAACATAAGCTTTATACGCTCTAAAAAATAAAGCGTCTATGCCGAAACGTGTTAATGCGGCCCCATTTTTCACTAAAGAACGGATATAAACAAAAAGGGCTTTGTCAAATTACTCATTCTTTATATTTAAACAGTTTGGCACAGAGAATCCCGTTGAACCTTTTCATAGCAGCATGGCATGCCCCCAATATGAGGGAACTGTCTCTGTTCAGGAGCGGTTTCCATAGATATTCCTCTGTCATGTGGACCACTTCCTCCCCTTCACCCGTTGCTTTTTTCCTCAGCAAAATCGACACTAATGAAGGCAAAGTAAAGCTACGGCTTCCCAGGGTAAATTTTACGCACATATCCACGTACATTTCATTTTGTCCATGAACGGTCTGAAATTTCTCTATTGTCTGTGTTCCTGAGCTAGCTGTCAGCGATTTCTTCATGATCGGAATCACGCACGACATCTCGCGTTTCCCGTAAAACTTCACGACGGGGTCCTCAAATATGACGTCATCACTGACATGTTTCAAGCTGTCAAGAGTGGCGGTGGCGGCGTAAACTTCCTGTATGCCTTTGAGAAGTTCTTCTCTGTTTTTCACCACTGTCTCTCTCTCACTCTCGCTGACATCCCAATTAGGCGCAGGCAGGGCCTTCTTCGGGGCATATTTGAGGTGATACAGGAGATGTGACGTCACACCTGTATAAGCGAGGATTGGTGTCCCAATTAATAGGCTTACGACTTTCATGTTGCCTGATAGTAATATAATATAATGTAATAAAATAATTTGTATACTGCTCACAGCGTTGTCTTCATTGTGTTACCTAGATCCCTATAAGTTGTTCACATTGGCGTTGACAGCTAGATAAACATGGGTTTAAACGCCCGCACGTCGTTGTTTTTTTTTTTAGATCCTTTTAGATCTGTGCAAAAGGACGATCCATTTGTGTTCCAAGACGTTGAAGTTCAGGTATATGTCTGTGTATGTCTAATTTGTGTTCCGAGTTCAAGTATATGTCTGTAATATTATATCCCCCACGAATATTGCGTTGAAAATCCTCTACGTGCATGTGTGCTTGTAGCTTCTTAAGCTTGGTGAATCTGTCCTTTAATGCACCTATTTTTATTCACGCTTATTCACGCTCTACATATTCGAGGTCACGGGGTTCTTTTCGCCTGCTTCCATCAGGTGTCACAGTGTCGTTATATTACAGATATTATATGTTTCCTCATTGCAGCGTGACTAATAGATAACAAGTCTTTCTTTACACGTGTATATATGCCCCAACCTGAAAATAAATAATCCACATTACCCCGCTGTTTATGTCACAAAATCTTTTGCCAAAAAAATGGACTTTTACCAGGGGAGACGCCATATATTAAGGTCAAAATTGCCGGCTAATTATAGCGGTCACTTTTAGTACCTATTGCCTAGTCCCCTGCTGGTGATAGGACCCGCATGAAGTAACTGACTGTTCTCACCAATGATTTAACTTTTGATGAAATATTTATGAGGCTGGGAGCAATTTTTAAAACATCCTTCTGGTATGTCACGGATTTTTTGTAGGTGGGATAAGGGGAGGGGGGGTCGCGAGTGGGGGGGCTCAGTTGAGCATATTTTTGTATCGTTTCGCTTCTTATACGCACTGCTTAATTCTGAAGCTAAGCGGGAAGGTCCGTGGGTCACTGTGCCCCACCCTCTCCCCTCACAACACCCCACCCCCACGCCCCGGCTCCGACATTGCTTCTATGGTTCTTGTTAGTTTACAGACGCGCTATTTTGAAGCGAGACTTTTAGATATCATTAAAATCATTGCTCTTCATGTTTGAAAGTATTCTACATGAAGAAGCGTTCTATCTTTTTTTTATTTTAGTATCTTAGATGTCTGACACTCTTTTTTGTCACCTCAAACAAAAACAAAAAACAAACAAACAAGCAAAAAAAAAAAAAAAAAAAAAGAGGGAAAGGCGACACTGGAAATTTGTTGCTTAATCAATTCGTCGTCTCGTAATATACGCAAAACTTCGAGACATAATTACGTATGTTTCCTTTCCTCTTGACAAGGGTACAAATATTCCCTACGGAATGCGCACCCAGTCACGTGCGGAGGTGAGCTGATCTTTTTAAACAGCGAGCATAAACTACATATAGAATCGGTTGAAAAAGGGTCATAAATTAGTTAATTAGTTAATTAATGTTATTCATTATTTTAAAGTTAAACAATCTCAACCTTTTCACAATACGTGCATGCGTGAATCTCGTAAAAGAAACAGATTGTGACGTCACTGACCCGTGCCGCCGTTGCCTAGAAACGTAAAAGCGATCTCAGACATACTGCGGTGCAGACGAAAAGTGCAGAGATTTTTGTTTTACTAAAACGTAGCAGAAATGATAATAACATCACACATGGCCTTTTTAGGCATGAAATACATTTACAACTATATCTTTCAAAGAGAAACGTTTGAACTAGAATCCGAGGTAAGTTAAGGAATAAAAAGGGTGAGTCAACCGGTCGGTGTTGCACAAATCCGTGTAAGAATCTTTGCCAGTATGAGTTCTTTCATTGTCAGCTTCTTGCTGACAATAAGCAAAATTTTGTTTGCATTATAGCACTGTGGAAGTAATTTACACGTACAGTGTAATATGATTTAGTCTTCAAACAAAAATAATCGAGAATAAATAATGTAAAAAAATGAAACTGCCAGTAAGTTTTAATAAATTTAAACTGACTCAAAGAGATTTTATTTCAGTGTTTCGAATTTCAGGAGTATGATTAATGATTAATTATCTTTTAAATTATATAAAGGTTCGGGCTCTTTTCCAAAAGGAAGACACGATGCTTCCGATCTTAGGACGTGGAGGTTTCGGCACGGTGTACAAGGTATTGTGATGTTGACAAAAGTTATGTTCCGGTAGTAGTAACAGAGGCATAAGAAGGATGAGTAAGGCTTCGTTCACATGCAATGTCTATTTTCTAAATTCTATTTTCTATTTGCGGTATGTCTTATGATCACGGTCTGTGGCCTGAATATCCCGCGGCGAAATTACTGGCAGCGCGAGTAAGTTACTATAAGTTACTATAAGTAACTGGCTCGCGCTGCCAGTAATTACGCCGCGGGATATTCAGGGCACAGACCGTGATCATAAGATAGCGCAAATAGAAAATAGAAAATAGACATTGCATGTGAACGAAGCCTAATACTTGCAGTAATGGCAGTTTTAATTGTGTCAGCAATAATGGTTATAGTTACAGCAAGCATTTAGTCCCATAAGCAGAGGGAATTTTCGTTTAAGGCACATAGCATACCTTGCAATTTTAACACTTTTCCATTAGTCACCAATGTATACTGTTTTCAGGATTACAATCCCCCCCCTTTTCAGTTTATTCTTATTTTGGGTCACTCTCCTAATGGCGATGGAGGCTGATAAATTTCACTTGCAAGGGTAAAAATACAAATGCAGAGCTCGAGAATGGGCTTAAAGATGGTAACCGAGTGATTTTTTTATACAGGGCATACTTTACTGATCAAGGGGAAATTGCTGTAATTTCCAGAAAACCTCTATTTTTGCTATGTAAGAGACTATTGCGCAATGTTTGCATTAAAGTAAATTTATGACATCTCACTTAACATTCGAAATATTTCATATTTAGCTCAGAAACAACCTGGCTATTAAAGTGCCAAAATGCATGGAGTACGGTTACCTAATCCAGGAAGAAGTTACCTTTATGAAGCTGGCCAACAGCGACTTTATTTTGGGGTATTTAAACAGTTATGTGTTATAATTCAAGTATGAATTGATTAGGATTTTTTACATGTTTTCAACCTTTGTAAAATAGTTTTTGATGTTGTCGATGCGAATCTTTAGATATTCGATGCGAGTTGACGTAATGTGGTTGAGAGTCGGTACGAACCTTTAAAATCAGATCACAAAGAACCATAGAGTAACAATTTCAATTTGTTAAAATATTTGGTTCCAGGTTTGTCCACTCTTTTGATGTGAACCCAGGTTTTCCGGTCTTGATTTCTGAATTTTTAAACAAAATCTATTAATATTAGTAGAAAAAATAACGAAATGTCAACGGCACGGAATGTGACGGACAAAAATATACACTGTGGTACACAAGATGCACTGTTGTTATTACATATTTGAATAATGTCCTCTTTCTAACTTATTATTTTCTGATAACTAAATATTCATTATCATAATTTTTCCGAATAGGAAATTATGGCCAACAATGAGTTAGTGCCAGCACCTCTAAACGCATGCAGCAGCGTACACAATGCTGTCGACTCCGAGTTGGCGAACATTTTGGCCTTTTACAACGAATCCAGCGATGGTTAGGAGACTGCAGTCATCTGACAAATTTCTTCATTTTTTACTTATTTCTCGACAGTATTTGTCAAATACCTCATATATTTATGAAAACAGTTATGATACAGAATTTCCCCCTTTTTTATCAGCAATATACAAATATAATACAGAATTTTCCTTTTTTATATCAGCAATATACAGGGTCCTTCAGCTAACTTATTCACAACTTAAAGTCGGTGATATCTAGTAATAATCTTAATCCCCACGTTTTATCTGTATTAAATTGAATTTGAGAAAAAACAAATGATCACAGATACAAAAGTCACTTTAAGTAATTCCGTTCTGCATTAATTAATTAATTTATTTGTAGCAAAATAAATGTTTATATGATTTCCTTTTAAATTTCTTCTTGCGTCGTTTCTCTGTCAACTCTAAATTTTAAAATTTACAACTAAATCTATTAATGTTTAATAAGTGACAATTAAATAGTAACACTGTTACTTTACCGTCTAATATTAATGCTATTGACATGACTGTTCTAGAATGCTATCCACAAGCATCCTACGTCATAGTTGATATCAAGCACATTTTCGAGCCACACCGCCGCAACTAGCACATCTCCTCTAACACAATCGAAGGTATCTACTCAACACAACGTACGTGCAATGCAGTTTTACCTAGTTCAGACTGTCTGATATTTGTATGATGATGTGTGTCTAAGACTTTATATGATGTCACCCTTTTCGTCTCCTTTAAGGACGCCCATTTCTTTTTTTAAAAAGACCATTAAATTTGGTGTGTTGTCCTTGGACCTTTCCCTTTCATACAGTATAGTCACCGTAGATAAGCCCGGATAAAATCCTTTATCACGATTTCAACTGCAATGTGCTTAAGAAAAGATGTCGATTTTTCTAGTTAGTAAAGAAAAGCAATTACTTTGGCAACGAACATACTGTATATTGTGTTTACCAGAATGACTGCTTGAAAAAGGATGGCGATATAAAAGATCACAAAAGTGTTCTGCACTACTTGCATACAGTGAATCACTGTTTCCCTTTAAATAATTCAGATTAAATTTTGGAAAAAAAGCATTTGCTTTATCTCAGAACAAAAACTGCATTTTCCAGAAGAAGGATGGTGACATAAATGATAGGAAGGTATAAATTTTATTAAATATTTTATATCATTTTATGAGTATCTCTGCTTTCAGGTTAATGCAATGACAACAGATGATTTGAAACAAGAATTGGCCCGAATCAAGATAAAACGTTTTAAAGGAAACACAATTTCTAAGTTACAAAATTTTTGTCTGGACTAATATTTGTGGTGTTTCAAGACTGATTATCTTTTAACCAAAGAATATGTTTCCATTTGTTTTTAGTTTTACTAATATTCCAAATTTTATATATAGTATGGATAGTTCTGTGATCGGCTACACATGCTGAGAACATGCAAGTCAAATTTGTCACTTCATGAAGATTTTATTTTAATATTTTCTTTAACTGATACATGTACATCAGACATACAATTCATATATCTCATGGGAGTTAACCATTTTCATTTAAGAACTATG